CATCTACGAGCGCAACCTGGCAAACGACAAGGTCGAGTACCTCCACGGAACGGGCAAGCTCCTGTCCAAGAACCAGATCGAGGTGACACAGGATGATGGTTCTAAGGTCCTCGTCAACGCCAAGAAGATTCTCGTCGCTGTCGGAGGCAAGCCTCATATCCCACCCGAGATCCCCGGTGCCGAGCTCGGCACCAACAGCGATGGCTTCTTCGACATTGCCACGCAACCAAAGAAGGTTGCCGTCATTGGCGCCGGCTACATTGCCGTTGAGCTCGCTGGTGTATTCAACGCTCTTGGAACTGAGACCCATCTCCTTATCCGCCACGACACCTTCCTGCGTACATTTGACCCGATCATTCAAGAGGGCCTGACCAAGGAGTACGAGAGAGTGGGCGTGAAGCTGCACAAGCGAAGCCAGGCAAGCAAGATCGAGAAGGATGCGAATGGCAAGCTTACGGTTACCTACAAGGACAACCAAGGAAACGAGACTGTCCTCACCGATGTCGACCATCTCATCTGGGCCATTGGACGTGTTCCCGAGACCAAGAATATTGGCCTGGAGGAGGCTGGTGTCAAGCTCGACGACAAGGGCTTCGTCGTTGTGGACGAGTACCAGAACACCAGCGTGGACAACATCTACGCCCTCGGTGATGTTACAGGCCAGCTCGAGCTGACGCCCGTGGCCATCGCCGCCGGTCGACGACTGTCGGAGCGCCTCTTTGGCGGTCCCGAGTTTGCCACGCGCAAGCTGGATTACACCAACGTCCCATCAGTTGTCTTTTCCCACCCCGAGGTCGGCTCAGTTGGTCTTACTGAGCCTCAGGCCATTGAGCAGTATGGCAAGGAGAACGTCAAGGTCTACACCACCAACTTCACGGCCATGTACTACGCAATGATGGAGCCGGAGCACAAGGCCCCGACCAAGTACAAGCTCGTCACCGTCGGACCTGAGGAAAAGGTTGTCGGTCTTCACATTTTGGGCTTGGGAAGTGGCGAGATGCTCCAGGGATTCGGCGTGGCCATCAAGATGGGCGCCACCAAGGCCGACTTTGATAACACTGTTGCCATCCACCCAACCAGTGCTGAGGAGATTGTTACACTGAAATAGAGATGATATAGACCTAAAATAACGCCATATAAAGATCGATGATAATAAACTACACTCTGTTACTTACTCGGAGCGATCCATCCTTGTGATTCAAACCTGACATGCTATGTTAGAAGTACAATGCATTCTTCCAGACAAAGACTTCCACTTTATCTCAACTTCGCGGTAATGTAGTATTCATCATGCGAGATGTAATCTCAAGGGGACATCAAGAGGATGCAGCTCTTGTACATCGGTTACAAATATTTGTGGTTCAGACATGCTTTACCGTAGAACGTTCACAGTAATTAAATGCTTATTGAGTATAGCTAGAGTATGAATGAGATACCTCGCTATCCTGAAGGCCCATTGACAAGGCAAATGCAGCACACCGATTTCTATACATATGTCCTAATCCAACCTTTGTACTCTTTGCTTTGATGATTATGAACGAACAGCTAAGGATTATCACCCCCCTCAACAATATATCCATTGATTACTAGCTGATCGAGTACATAGAAGACAATCGATCTAGCTTGTTAGACATCAAAACATACATCAATTGGCATTCACGAGCGGGAAGAAATACAGAAGACTCTTCCTGGCAGGTGATGGCATAGAAACTACTCTGATGGCGACCACTGAAGACAATGAAGGAAGACCATCAAGCCCAGCAGAGTTCACAGGCATATGAGAGGAATGCATTGCTCGCCAATTATCTTACGACATCTAGAATGAGAATTGTGTTCTTCACATCTCTCATGTTGGCATGCTGTCTACTTTTTTTCTTTTTCTTTGGCTTCTCCTACAAGACACCTGCTGGGACTACTACTCAGTATCAAAGTACACAATGGGCATCTTCATCCATCACATTCTGTCCCAAGCACATTACTATCCCCATGTAAATTCCCATGGTTGGCAAACCCAGCTCCCCTGGATGCATTGCAGGAATCCATCGACCCGAGGACCAATTGGACACTGCAGAGAAGCTCGCTTCCACGACAGCACATGCAAACGGAGCCATCAGGGGTGGACCATCACGATAAGTCGACGACTCAAGCAATCCTCACCCCCTCGACAACGAAGCTGCTTATCAAGCGTATCGGGCACCACATGAGTCTCGGCTGGAGCTACGGAACGACACAGGCACGCTATGACCTATCGTTTAGTTTTTTCCAAGCACGGCCAGCACACTCGAGGGCCTCTTCCTCATGCATGATTCGTCCCCAAAGTCATCTGATGCCAGACGTGGGTTTATGGGCCCATCCCTTTTGGGGTCTTGGGAATGGACTATACAGACGATCCAGTCGAGGGGAACAGACGGACCATCGTGCCACCAGGACAAACCTTCTGCTGCATATTCGAAGCACACATGACGTAGGAGGGTGCCAATAGTAGGACATATCGTGCCTTTCTGACGGCTCGGGTACTGCGTTGTTAATTTGCTCTGCGAGCCGGTACATGATGCAGTTGGCGGAAGAAACCGACACATCAGATATCCGTACACGCAGCAGCCCAGCTGTGGAGGGACGAGGACCAAGCAGCCCACGCATGATACCGTCTCCGGAACCCAGACTGCACATCCTGCATGCCCCCAAGGCCAGGGCGCACTTGGGGACACCCTCTGCGCAGCCCGAAGAAAGGGACTTGGGAGCAATTCTCCGACGCTGGCCGAGGAACAATGGGCATGAAACTCATCACTCTCACCAGCCCTCTCTTCCTCCGTTCGGAGGGCATGGCAGTTCGCCGCCATTGGGCCATGCAGTCATGCTGGGGCCGGCGCTCGGTGTTTCATGGGTCAGAGGCAAACCTCCAAGAGCCAAGAGCCAGACCACCGAGCCGATTGACCAATACATCGCCCTTCCCACTCTCACCATCGTCGGAATCCCCCATCAGTTTTCGGCGCTTAGGTACGGCGTGCTGCCAATTCGCTAGCTTTGGGGGGTCTTTGCGCAACCCAACGCCCGGCCTAGACCAGGACCATCCCACGGACCTCCTCCCGGGATGCCCTTTCAAGGCGAATGATACGGCCTTGTAAGTAGGAGGTCGCGGCGACCAGCACCGATTGTACGGTTACGGGCCTAGCACGGCAGGACTCCCTGTCGATGAGCAGTGCAACGTCCTTGAGACTGAGCAAGAGCAGCACGAACTATTGCCTCTCGCGCCACACTCATCAAAGGGTCCAGAGACTAAGCAGAGAGGGGAAGCCAGGTGAGGAGTCGCTCGCAACGGCCAAACAGTTCCAGGTCAAGGGGCATCTGTGAGATGCCCTGCCAGCAAGGGCAATGCAACTCGAGGTGCTAGCGTGTTGGGCCCCAAGGAGTCCGGGCCAGAAGGAGCATAGCATAACGCACGTTTGTAACACCTCTCTCACATCTCACATTTTGATATTGGCCTCGGGGTGTGAGGAGGAGGGAGGCGAGAGGGCGACGGGCTATCACACACACACACTCACAAAGTCTGATTTGTGCCACACGACAAGGCCAGAATGGCCCGGTTCTTGGGCCGGATTGAGCTTCTTGCAGTCACGTCCAAGGTGCCACCAAAACACAACACCACCTCTTGGCAGCTAATCCAGCACCTGTACCGATCATTTGGGGGCGCCACCTCCGCATCGCAGAGGAGGTTGACCCTAGGTGCCTTGCCTTACGGATTCACGCTAGAGCCAGACCAAGACGGGGTCAGCTGGTCAGCTGGACGGACATGCTGATGAACGGCTGGTCTGTTGCAACCCAGGTTTCGATACGGCACCACAACAAACCCTGCACGGCGCTCCCCGCACTCTTGCCTGGTCGTCCAGCTCGGCAAACCACGAACTGCCACCAGGGCCAGGTTCCAGGCCCACAGCGAGGACGGCGACTGGACTACCTCCCGCCGCCTCGGTAGGAACCATGGTCATCCTCTGGAACTTGTCTTGGGGCGCGTTATCGGTAGCCATGCTCTAGCACGCTCTGCGCGCATCGTGAGTCGCTGGCGGCCGCTGCTATCTTCGGTGGCGCTGCGCTGCAAAAGGGGTCCCAGCTCCCCACGGAAGCTGCACGTTGGTCGTTCGTTCGTTCGGGAGGGGGGTGGTTGGTAGCTGTCCCGACCTGGCGAGTTGACTTACAATGAGACCAGCCAAGAGCTGAGGGAGGAGGCGGCCATGCACAGCGAGCTGGGTCTGACCGCAGGCACGGAGAATCCCAAGAGCTCGGTCACACACACAGTCGTAGGCTCTAGAACTTCGCCCTTAGGTCGACTGGCAGAGAGAGAGAGAGACAAGACATGAGGATAAACCCACGTGGCTGCGCTGGATCAATATTCTAGCCTGGAAGAGGGCCATGAGGGTTTCTTGATTCTGGATGCGACTTCTGGATTCGGACCAGACGTGTACCGATTGGGGTGGTGGACTCAATAATTCGTTCCTTTTCGTCCAAGAGCCATTTCGTGATTAGCAGAACTGTGATATTGAATTTTAGGGGTCGCTTCCCACCGTCGCCTTCGATTGGTGCTAGGTCCACACCTGTCAAGACGACTCTAGACCGAATTGACACACTCTCGCATACACACAGCAACCACGCAGGCTGGAATGCGGAGATGTAGGTACCGTGGTCGCAGGCAGGCAGGCTGTGCTAACCGAGAGGGACCAGGCCACATCCGAGGATCCGACTACTCATCGGAATGGAATAGCGTGAGAGTAGCTAGTCGCCTTCTGTTGCACATTATGCAGCCCTCGTTCGTCTTGAAGGCAGCTGAGACATGTCGCAGGGCCGGCGCAGTTCCCTGCTCGATTCTGCCTCGTGCAGCATTTGGTTAGTAATTGAATTTCATCCGAGCAAGTGAGGGAGAAAAAAGCGCGAGAGCGAGAACGAGAAGGGCATCAATTGCTGGCGAGTTGTTTCCAATTGAAATTGGCCACTGCAGGTATGGCGAGATGCTTCCTAGTCGGCATGTTCGAGAACCGCCATCGGAACTCGCCGGTGCGTAGATAGCGATGAAAAAGTTTAATCTTCTTCTTCTCCAGGAAATCAGGCCACGGACGGGCCACCACGATACAACTACGGCTAATTGTGGCTCTGGATAGTGTTTCGTGGAGCTCTCCGCAACACGCTTTGACGCTCTGCCATGGCACCGTCCTCTAAGTTCTAACAGTTCCACAACCTAGTGCAAAGCCTCAACCTCTCGTCTCCACATCGGTGGTTGGAATCGCCGACTTCAAACTTCACACACCTCCAGGTGGCTGATAGTCTAGGCGTACGGGTGTGGAATTGGGGCAATTGGTGGCTTGAGGCGTTTGTGGACTGCCTCGTCAGCTCTCCTGATGGCTTGCGAGGGCAAACTAGTGATGAATTGCCGTCCGAGGTATGCGAAGATTCAACGGAACTATAATGAGGCGCCGATAGACGCCGATGTCGAGGGACAGTAGCTGCCGCACCTACCAGCTAGCGCTCCTCAGCGAGATCCGAGAAGTGGCTATGTAGCTACACCAAATGGGCTTCCACGGAAATGGGCGGCAGGATTTGGAGATCGCCTAGCAGGACTGGACGGCAGTGGCCGTGGCGCTCGTAGATCGCGATGAGGGAGTATCAGCGTCAAACAACCTGCCACTCCTGCTGCAGAAATCATCCGATGGCTCCAGCAACCAATTGGAGACTGCAGGGCCTTTCGACCGAAAGCGACGTCACCAGCAGAAACCGGAATGCGTCGGCGTAAGCTCAGTGAAATCTGCCGATAGGCAGGGACTGGATGCAACGCCCTCAACGGTCCAATGCATGCATCTGTCTGCGCAAGGATGGCCAAATCTCCTTCGACTCCCCCTTGGCCCCCTGCTGTTTACGGGGTATTTTGCAATTGGTGATCAGATACCTGCCCAGAGGTCTCGGAGAAAACACAATCGCCAGAGACCGTCCAGGATGGAAGCCAGATGTGATTTTCTCAGGGCGGAACCCTGCAACCCCCTTCGTATAATACACGTACTTCGAGCGGTTACTGCTACATAGACAAGGAATGCATTGAAAGCACGGACAGCGACGAGGGCCACCGTCGGTAGGAACGTCGGTAGGTGCTCGTTAGTGGTGTAACGGTGTATGTAGGAACGGGCTGCCTGCTTGTGCAGCACGATCCAGCGCTTGATGGTGTGTGTGTTCCAGTCACAGCTCAGTGCTTGAGCCACAGACCAACCAACGACAGCTTGCCGTGCCTTCCTACCGAGGCATGTGGTTGCAGGCGTCTGTCTCTCCCAATGCCTTCGTTGTCTCGGGCGGGGCGCTCACCGAAACGGCATCCAGACGAAAAGAGCTGTTTTTGCTGGGCCAGACTCTGCCACTGATTCACCCCGTATCCGACACAGCTGGATCGAAACCAGACTGAGGCGTTTCGGCGTGGAATCCACGGAACCGATGACTTCCGGAGACGCCTCGTTTGTTTGTTTGTTTGTTTGTTTCCTGTTTACGAATTATATGCCCATATGGCCAGATGAGACAGCGGACACGACCTGGCTCGAAATTGAGTCGAACGCACGCATATTCAGGAGGCTCATGTCCCATTCCAGCAAGTGGTATTAATAGGGCTATTGAGGAACTTGGAGATTATGCTGTGGAAAAAATTGCAGTGTGGTACCTGCCTTAGTCAAGCGGCGCGGTAGCATGTAGGCCTGTCCAAGGGATGATCGATGCAATGTAACTCAGAAGCCCGTAGATATCAGTCGGCGTCTAAGTGAAGTGATTTGCAGACTGGTGGTATGTGCTGTTATTAGCCACCACCAACGCAGGCTAAGCCATGGTACCATTCCTCCCGGGACGCAAATTCAGGGGACGAAAAATTTTCGCTCCTCGATGCTGCCTTGGAGGACGATGCATTAGATGTGACTAGCAAATAGCACGATCATCAGCGATCGACACACGGCAGTCGATGAGTACTAGTGCATTTGTTGATTAGTATCAAGTGAGTCTGCTGGCTGCACTTTCGCCTGGCCAGGCCGGCGGAACTATTGTGGACTGGCATTTTCGCGACAGCCTGACGCCTTCTAAGCTTAGTGCAGTAGTACGTGCTAGCTCGTCGTTGCCCAGGGGTGTGGCTGTGGTGTGCTATGGTGTGCTGGGTGTTGTGCAAATCACATAATTCACAGCTGGAGTTGCACAAATCTCCAACCAGGCGACTTATGTAAGCTAGAGGGGTGGGCCTAACCGGGCTTCCCTGTGGCTTTCAGGGCATGCACAATCTGCCAAGGGCGGTACGTACTCTTGGTAAGATCATCTCCCGAGCGCCTCACCAAAATGGTCCAAAGTGGCTCTACAAACTGGCCTGGACCATGCCTGTTCGCAGCAGCTCCCTACGCTAACATGTTTTTTTCTAGGAGCAAGGCTTGAGAATGTCTCAATCTCGGAGTCCCCAAGGTGTGACGGCGTGACTGTGATGTTGAGTTTGCTTTCCTGTCTCAAGCGTCCAAGACAACCCCCACGACATACCCTGGCCAGTGGATTCCTAGTAAGGGAAAAGGGAAGGGAAAGGGAAAAACTCTTGCAGCTAATGATCTGGCCATGGCCGCAGGCAACCATTGGCTCCTGGAATAGATGGAGGCGTCCAGAGGAGAGCTGATAGGTTGTAGCCGAGATTGACGGGCCACACCTCAGCTGCCACGGCTCACATAATGGCCTATTGATTAGATTCGGATGCTGCACTCAGGCCAGAGGGGCACTGATACAGGTGTTTCCGGTGCCGCATCGTGGCCAAGGTGGTCCAATGGGCCTATCACGGCTCAACCCAGTTGCGCAGGCTGTCAAAGGGTGCCACGTTGTTCCGTAGACCAGCGTCACCAAGGCGCATCCCACAAGGTTAGCTCGAGTCTGCAGCCTAGCTCAACAATGACCACGTAACCCGGGTCGCCTATTTCGGTTTGGCACCTGTCATCTGTGCCTGGAGCAGCCAGCTGAATGGCTGGTTGTCTCACGCCTCTGCTCTACTTTCTCAAAGCGGAACCAGGACTCAGGCATCTAGAAGCTATTGGGCTCCTGTTCGGGTAGGGATGTGTACTTCCATTACTGGTTCGGTAAGTTGGCGGAACCAAAGATCAATCATCTCTGGTCCAATAGCTGTCAGCCCATGTTGCCTAATGGTTTGATAAGTGCATAGCACTTGTTGAGGCAAAAAGGCAATTCGGCGGCTGGCTGAACGGAGGCCCACCAGCAAGCTGGTCGCCAGGCAGTCATTATCATCCGAGGCAAAACGCCATCCGTCTCGAAGTGGATTGATATGTGACCACGATGCTTCGCAAGTCCAATTGATGAAATCGTGGCACACCCTCAACAATTCACCACAGGATCCTCTGCGGCTGACAGGAGGAGAGATACAAGGAGGGGGGAAACTTTTCTCGCCCTCCAACGGCTTAGTTGGTACATGATCATCGCCATCAATTCTTTTTGTTTGCAAAAGGCTTTGGAAGCGAGGAAGACGAACCCTTGCAGTGCCTGCTCACCCGTAGCCTTCGATTATGTGTAGCCATAATAGTAAGCCGATTGGTCCTTGCGAGGATGATAAAATTTTTCATCAAATTTTCTGGATGGGCATACATAGCGAGGTGGCGAGGGCACCGTAACACAAGAATTATTGACATGTAACTGCTCAAGGACCGGGAAGCAGAGGCTGGTATCCGGCTGATGGCTGCCCAGCCCACCATGAAAGAAAAAAAATTCTGCCCAGAAGGCGTCCTTGGCAGCCAACAATTGGATCAACTCAGCGACAAGGAAAATGAGCAATTAGAGACTCAGCTGTGGCAAAATCAGTATTTTCCCCGATTGAGATCTTGGTGGGGTTTGCGGCTGTAGTTCTTTCAGTTGATGATGGTGGTTAAATTTAGTTGAGTGGTGAGATACACAATCCTAGCCTGTGGGTAAATAATTACGATGAACCAGCATTGGAAGAGACTCAAAACTGCGGGGTACCGTTGTTGCTTCCTTCCCTTCCATGTGAGCAGCAGCTATAATTCGCTTCTTATATAAATAAGCAGTGTTATTATGCCGATCGTTGTCCAAGACCAGCAATTAGATCCTTTTATTCCCGTCTTCTGTCCTCTTTTTTTGTTTTCTCAGTCTCTCATTGTTTCCGGGTGGAGAATGTTGCTCTTGAGACTCCAGCAAAAGGCACGGATTGTGGGGGTCCTGGACATTTTGACCAGGTCAAGACGGTGTTCACTTCCAGATGTGGCCACACGACCTTGGCTGCATTCCTATTATACCACAGCCTGAGGGGGGAGTTTGATTGATGAGCGGTGCAAGATGACATAGTCCCAGCCCATCCATCCATTTTCCTTGCTCTGCCTCCACCCCAACCCAGCCCAGGGCGCCATGTGACTCCGTTAAAAAGTCCGAAGAGAAGAGCCATATGACGGCGACCCGGCCGAGTGTGTGTAGAGTGATCTATCATGAGCGTTCGTAATGGTGGAGGCGGAGGCAGCCGCCCCTCTCCTCCTCCCACCAGCAATGTCTCCCAGTGTGTCTCACTGTGAACGAACGCTACCTCTTCGAATCAACGATCCGGTGACTGCCCTGCCCCGGTGGTCAGAAGGGTGCCACGCGGCCAAGCCGGTTTCTGGAGAGCAGAATGCACTCATGGGGGTTTGCCTCCCTCAACTTACACCACCCCCTAGGCGCTTCTTGCGGCATCGTGCCTAGCTTCACATTGTCACTCTGCTGTTGGTCTGGGGCCGTATATATCTCATGGGCAGCCTGCCATGCTACCTGCCCTGGCTCACGCGGATTGGTCCAGAACGCCCATTACCACCCACCCACCACCTCGTCCTTCGATGTCCTACATAATGGTTTTGGAAGGGGTGTGGACTCGGCTCCTCTGCCACAGCGCCAATCTAGATTGGCAGCCCGTCGCTCTATTCTACCCTACCAAAGTCCCTAGACCCTTTCCCTTTGGCCAATATTTCAACCCCAGCCCAGCCAAACTACGTAATGCAAAAGTAGGTAGCAGCAGCTTGGGACTCGCACAGGCGTAAAATAGCTCGGCGGGCCGAACGCCCACTGTTGACTGGTTGTCTGCCTAGACGGAAGGCCCTTTCGCCTGCTCACAATAGCAACCCACCCCAGATTATGCATGTTGGCGAGCCAAGCGAAACCCAAACGCTCAGCACGGTAGGCAGGCATGTAACTCAACTTGGGTATATGGCCTGGGGAAAGCGCCCGGGAATAACGCAACGAGGAGAATGTGTGAGGTCATGGCCATGTCCCTTGTTGGCCTGGCCCTTGCAGATTTCAGCGAGCAGGCAAGCAGGTTGAAGGGGCGGGGGCCACCAGTGGGACACCATCATGCCCGTGTCCAATGACTGCAACGGCAGCTGCTGGTCTCACTCCATGCGCATCGTGTTGTTCCTGTTTTCGAAGGGG